ATGCCTCCGGAAACCAACCATCTTTCCATTGTACTTGTCAAGGAATTGCAGCAATGCAAACTGCCAGTTGCTGAAAATACAGTGGACCTGTTCCAAATCAACACAGTGGAGCAGTGCAAATAATTTTATTCTCATCAAGTGCTTCTCTTCCACATGGTACCCACCAATTTCAATGGACTTATTTGCTTTCCTCCAAACACTGTTGACCATGTTTTCCCAAAATGTGGGATAAGAACCAGTGGCAAGAAGTTAGGATATTGTTCTGAATGGAGGCAGTCACCATAGAATTTAGAATTTACGGCTGTGGATGTGTCTATCAGTGTGCATGTAGGCTCAGGCATTTGTCTCATCGCTTTAGCAGGTGTTGACTTCACTCCTAAAACATCACAAGAGGTGTTCGCAAAGACCTCCACTTCGTATCCGCACTTGAACAGGCTGATGGAGAGGGCAGCCCACAGCCCACTCCCCTTCCTGCTTCTGTACCTGAGCAAACAAATACAGGCAGTGCCTCAAAGGTGCCCACACTTCTGTTCTCACAGCCCCTGGGACGTGCTCGGGCTTTGAAAGCAGTGAAGATCTTGTGTTAACAAACCCATAATGAATGCTACTGTGTTCAGACTCTGGCCATGGGGCAAGAGCTTTGCAGCTTTAAATCTAAAACCAAAACTCTCCACATTAGTTCACAGCCTCCATACCGCCCTACTCCAAACCCCTTTAAGATGCAAGAGTTTCCCCACAGCCTTTTATTTGTCCCATGTGTCCCAGCTCTCATTCCCAATCGCCAAGAGGAAGAACACAGAAAAGAGGCCCCCTCCCTTGTTTTTCACGGTAGATGATCCTCAGTCCTTGCTTATATTGAGCTCTGTTGTTCCCTGCTTCCCTCCCAGGTGCTGATTTTTCATTAGCTTCACATCATGGTCAGTCTCACAGATTGCTTTTATCCAGAACTCACCCTTTAGCCTGTCTCAAATCAGATTTCTGTAGTTTCAAACACTCCTAGTGTTTCAACTTAAAAACCTTCAGTTCAAGTCCCTACAATGAGCAATTGATTTCTGTCCCTCCACAGCCCCTGCAGAGACAGGTTAAGGCTCCAAAAGCTGCCTCTTGAGGCCATACATCCTCCTATCCGTAACCATCAAGACTATTTAAGACTGTGAGAACATGCCTGTCTATTAACAGGCTAAGGTAGGCTGGATTATATCCATTTCGAAGAAAAGATGTTGTCAGTACACCTCATGTTTGCAGATGCCAGAATTCCAATAGGAGCTGTATTATGGTGCTGACAGCGGTTGGTGTGTTACCATCATCTTTGCTGAGTTACCATCATATTCTGCTCAAGTACTGCACTTCATTTTGAGTGCTGAATACAACAACCAAAATACAACTTTTTTGTCAATAGCACCATGAAATTTCCGCTTACCATAATAAACCAAATTGCTGCTGTATTACTAGAACCGTGTGTTTACTGTCTCCTGAGACACCCCTACTGCTTCCACATTTGCTAGTCCCTTCAGTCCTACATAATTCTATTTCAGCTGTACAAAGGTTAACATACATTTGCTTACATAGATCAGAAACCCATGAACAGCTACGAAAAAGGTTTGATCAACAACCCCAAAAAGGCTGCCAGATACTGGTCTGCTTTCTCAGCAGTCTCTCATTCACAAAGGACTTAAAAATTGTCAAGTGCTCGCAGAAACCAATTCGCATCTATGACATACATACATTTCTTACTGAGAAAATCACCTGGGCTATTTTTCACAATGCTTACCTCACTGGGAACACCCGAAGAAATCAAGAAGAAGCAAGTGATTTTTGGAATGCTAGAGACTGTGGCAATTCCACCCCCACCCTCCAATTTAACTTTTTGCCAGACTCCGTACAGAGAGCACTTCTGTGCATGAACCTAGAGCTAATTCTTCTGAGAAAAGATTTCAGTGTTGAACATAATTAAAGCAGTACTCAACATTCACCTGCATATAATCATTTCAAAGTCTTAAATACAAACCTTTTTCCCCCCCCATCTTGCCTTTGGCAAGAACCTCACATTGCCCATGTATTAAGGAATTCTTCTCTGAGAAGTCTCTCTCAGAACACTGTTGTCACAGTGCAATACACAGACGTGGATTCAGGAAAGCGCTGCCCACACAAAATAAAATGCAAATTAAAATTCTGAAGGTTTTCAGTGCAAGAGAAAATAAAATTGGTATAGAGCCATGTCAGAACCCTTTTGCTTAACTGTCAAGTACTACTCTGGTAAAGCAGGAGAAATTGCCATTGATTCTTCTCATAGTTTGAGATCACACCCTACAGTTACCATCAATAAAGGTGTTGCCACTTTGCTGATGGCTGCCCTCACTTTTCCTAAATTTCTTCAAATATTGCAAGTTTCTTTTGCAAATGAAAAAGTTCATTGGAGCAACACTGCCCCCATCCGCTGGCCTCTAGCTAACATACTGGTTTTTAGTTGAGTTACAAGAGTTTGTTGTTTTTATCGATTTACATGCAAACATTTCACAAATTAGTTAGCAACCATTTACGTTTCTGAAAGGAAGCAAAATTCCTACGAAGTATTCAGGGCAGTGCTATTGATCCTACCTGGGTCTATCAGCTGGCATGTCATCAGGTTAAATATAAATCTAGAAATCAAAAAAAAAAAAAGAAAATTTAGCTCCCAGTCTTTGTACATGTTACTTTTTGGCTACAGAATTAACCAGTATGCTTTCTTCAAATCTACTTTCTATTTAATTTAGAGGAAGGGTGAAGGCAATTCACAACTCACCTCTCAAGACTTGTTTCATAAAACAAGGCAGCCATCGTCCATAATGAAGGGACTTCTGAAGAGGATTAACATTCCAAACTGGCTCTGAGTTGGACATCTGAAGAGCAGCAGTGTAACTGATTACACAACAAGATGCATTTGGCAGAAAATCATCAATACAAGCAGGTCGACAAATTTGGAATGAGCTGCATCTTTCTCCTTGCATTCGTATTTTACTCCAACGTAATTGCACTGGCATCACAGAAGTGAGCCTGTAAAGGATAAAGGGCCCACACTGATTTATCAAGCACAAACCATTTTTGATTATTTCTTTATTTTTTAGTTCTAGCCCTTTCATGCAAAGAAGTGAACAAATATTGAGGTACACAGCCATGTCAGTGGAAACAGGATTTCTGTGAAAGGTCTGTGAAGGCAAAGGCTGGGGCTTGCTTTCCCTTCCCAGTGGCCTTTCTTATAACCTTTTCTAGATACAGGAGCTGGTGCACCCACATTCTGCCAGGCCAGCACGAGTCCCTAGGGTTAGAGTAGTCTTTCGTATCTCTAGCTGTATGCAAACTGCTTCTGAGCAAGTAAAAGCCTTGCAACAGCCCCTTTTGACATAATTTGTAATTTAAATTGGCAAGGCAGACAAAAGAGAGTAGAAATGTGGACCTTCTTACCTTTCACAGATGCAAACAGATGGAATGGGTGACTTGCTGATGGTCACACATGAAGTATGAAAAGGCTGAAAACTGAAAGCAAGCCTTCTTTTTCCTAGCTCACTGCTTTTTACCACAGTATAGCTTTTCTTTTACTTCCAGATAGGGCTCTGTATAAACTGAAGAGCTTTGGGAATTTTAAATGATAATAGATGGCCTTCAAGCACCAGTGGCCATCCCAGCCTCTTCTTTACCCTGAGTCTTGAAGATGCAGAGGACCCAAACCTGCAGAACTGAACAAAAAAAGTGTTAAAAGACACAACTCTCCTGAATCAACCCAGGATCCCTTAAGAAGCAAGTCATGCCTTTCTGGGGTAACGGTTCTCTTGAAGGTTAGGTAAATTAATAAATTAGAAACATCTAAATAGAAAATACTACTTTTCTATGCTTACCTCCCATCAACCTGAGCCAATCCCATAGCACATCCATCCACTCAACTCCGTAAAATGTTTGTTTGGCATCTGAAAGGAGAAATGATGGGATGGACCATAAGTTAAGCCTCTCTATGACCAAAAAATAAAAAAGGGGATTAGAATCAACTACCAATGTCAAAAGCTTGCTTCTGGAGAGGCATTCCTGGAGCTAAATGGAGAAGCTCTGCTCACATTGCAGACTGGATTTGAGTCCAGCTCCCTCTACAGAATAAGTCCAGCTCCCAAACTACAGAATAAGCCTGCTTTCCTGGGCAGGCTTAACGTAGAATATAGTAATCAGAGAGTGAAAAGAAATAACAAGGCTGAGAAACAGAAGGAAGCTGCAAAGTACATCAATCCACGTAGATCTTATGTTGGAAAAGATACCTGCCTTTGAAGACTGGGGAAAAAAAAAAAATCAAAAATCTTTGGTGAACAAAAAAAGTCTTTCCAGATAACATTGTCTCTAGCACAAAACAGTTTGAGGTCCCTCTGTTACTCAAAGCAAATTTGAGTTGCTGATAAGGAACTATAAGGAGTGAGGAACAATTCTGCTCCTCCAAGGGGAGCACAACTGCCATCACAAGTGAAGATGAACTCAGGCTATCTAAATTCAAAACCGCTGATTTTTCTCTCTGCATCTGAATTTTCACTTATCTGATGTAATGGTTTTATCAATGACCTTGATGAAATAACTGCTTGAATCAGGAACCAAGAATCAATAAAGAAGGCTCATCACAATGTAGCACCAAAAATTTGCAACATGTGAGTTGTTGTTAGGTATGGCATTATAACTGTAACACCTCTGAGAACATTTCAGAAGTAGCAAGCCCTCAATTTCTATATAATACCATAAGATTTTCCAGAAAAACAGACTCAGTTTGCATTCTGAATGCAATAATTTATCAGGATGCACAGAAGTAGGCATATCATAGATGTCTTCATTCTAACACTAAATTAGATTACATGAATATACAGAATTATCCAGTATTATTAGCAAAGGCTAAAGGAGTTTCCCTTCTTGTGGCTCAGTTACAGACTTTCCAAATAAAAAGAGGGAAGCACAAAAGGCTTGGGGAAACGAACACCTCAGTTAATTTAGCAATTGTGTGGTGCTTATCTGTATCGTGGCAGACTGCAGGCACAATCAGACAACTTCAACACGCACCCACCTTCTGGGATAAGAGTTTTTTCTGCCAAACTATTTCTTGCAACTGCTTCTTGCAAAATGGATTACAGCTGAACTCACTCAAGGCATCAGAACACATCACAGCAAGCTGTGGTAACATGGTCCTCTATCTGAGCTCATCATGTGAAGTGCTGGCAAAATTCTGCCAACATTTACACTTGATATATGGGATATGTAAAAACACAGCAGGTAGGTATTTTTTTTTTTCAGATAGATTTTTTTTTCCCCCTTCAAAAATAACTTTATTATTTAACAAATAATGCCTTGAACCCCATCTGAAATGGCTGGTGGGTATAGCCCAGGTATTTTAGTGTAAGAGCCTCAGCTAGCATAAGTTATTCAACTACTTTCCTCTGAAGCTTTATACCTCAAGCACAGCTCATAGTCTCCTCTGGGAGTGTGGAGGGATTATTTTAAACACGAGAATTATATATTTGCAGCTTAATAACAAACCTCTGATTATTCTTAATTTTCTTAAAAAAAAAAAAAAAAAAAAAAAAAAGAAATCAGGAATTGCAACCTAACAAGGTTACCTACTCCCTATGTGGAGCAGTGTTTCAGGGGTGGTAGAGGGAAGCAGCAGGACCATGAGGCTGGAGTGCTCAGGACCTCATTTTCCACAAAAGGTCTGTTGAAATCTGTATGTTCTCTCCTAAAACTGAGATCCAAAATAGGACAATTGGCCACCTGATTTCCCTTACTGATCATGTGGTGGCTGTGCACCCATTCTCCCAGCAAGAATGGAAAATACCAGTCAGGCCATTACCTTCAGGAACTGAAAACCATTTTATCTCTGAAAAGTCTGGTGCATAAATCAGAAGATTTTGATTTTACTCCTGAGCTAGCTTTCTGGTGGGATGCTTTTGGCTCTCTGAGCTTTTCTCTGACAGGAGGTTCCTCACTCTGACTTCTCCCTTCAAGCTCATAGCCAGCCCCCACACCGTGATGCCCCTGCCCCTTCAATTGAGAGGATTTTTACCTCCAGCCGCGAGCATGGGGCCATTAAACCTTCTTTCACCATCCAGTGGCTGTGAAGGCAGCTTGACTGCTCTGGTGTCCCCACAGGAGGAGAGAACCCGCCGCCTGAGGCAAGGGGGCTGCCACACACGAGCGGCCATTTTGTGGGGGCTGGATGAAGCGCTGGCCTGGAGATCTCCTCATGGTGGCCGGGTGTTGCAGCCCCTCTGTCACTGAGGTGAAGCAGGTGTAGTGCAATTGCTAAAAGGGCAGACTCCTTCCTGGGGAAGGGGCAGAAGAAGGGGCAAGGTGACACACCTCACTATGAGGGCATGGTCTTTTTGAAAGGACATAGCCAGAACCTGCACTGACGAGGGGGGGAAAAAACAACACACCACCAATAAAAAACTTGAAGGGAGCATGTGCACAGTAGGGCTGGAGGGTTACAAGAGTGGCAAGATAGTTCTGGATCTCCCTCATTGCTCTGCCGGGAAGGGGCAGGTGGTAGCCTGGGGCCGCCATTTTGTGCATCCTCACCCCCCACCAAAATGGCGGCACCTGTAGCTCCTCCTGGCCTTGGTCCTCACCACACAGAAAACAAAACCTGGGGAGCCGTGAGGGTTCTCTCTGGTTTAGGAGAAACTGTCCTGGCAGGAGCTGTTAATGCCAATACCAAAACTCTAGATACACAAATTGAGACTATGTGCTTTGGTCTTCCACCAGACCTCAGTTCTTGTTCTGGACATACCTGCAAAGCAGTTACGTGAGGAAAAAGATTGTCTTGAGGCAAGCAGGTTGGGATAAAATATATTTGGAGATGATATTTATAGAAATTTATATATATGTATAGATAGAAATTTATAGATACTTATATATTTATAATATTTATATAATATAGATATTTATAGAAATGTGGTCTTCACTGTTTCTTGCAGAAAAAGTACCTGGAAATGTTATAAGAAAGTGACAGTATATATGATTTACCACTTAATTGTTGAAAAACTTAACAGAAGATGATACCAAGTATTTATAAAACTGTGCATCTGTGATCATCCAGACAAAACAAAGCCTAAGGCTTTATGAAGGAAAAGAATTATCCACCTCAATAGCCTTGAATTTTTCCTAGTTAAAAGTAGAGAGACAGAATTCATTTTTATGACATAAAGTTGGTTCTTAACATACTAGGAAATAATATATTGATAAATATATTAGAAAATAAGGACAATTGTTTCTTCTTCACAGATGCTGTCAATATGAGTGAGAATATCCAGGAATTAAGGTAGGATACTTTTTTTTTTTCTTTTAATTAGAGAAATTCTTTATCTGATATCCGTCATTGTGGTCAACATCATTCTTACAGAAAATGGAAACAAACAGATGCTGAAGGTGTAGTCCTTAATACTAACATGACAGAAAAGGTGTGAACACAAAATTTAAGGATATGGGTGCCCAAGGCAATCTACTGTGAGGGGTGAATTGCACTGATGGTTGTAATTTGTGTACTTTGTTTCTGTCCACGGTGGAAGGAGTTCTTCCATATGTCAGCAGGATTTCTGCAAAAATATCAGGATACAGTAAGGCCTAATGATAATGAATTTGCAGGAGCCCAGAATTATTTTTAGTATTAGATTTAGGGTCATTCAGCAATGGAAAAGTGATATTTGTGATATTCAGTGATTTTACTGTTTTGGGGTGGGTTGAAGATGGTGATTAGATTTAGAGATTTTTATATACACATTTATGTACCTACTATTTGGAAAATTTTCCAAAAAAAAAAAAGAGGGATCATTAATGAGTTTCAGAGTTAATGGTCAAATGAGAAGGATAAGGATGATATTTTTCTTTTCTAAACTTTTTCTTTTCTGACTACTGAACAGTATGATTACCTGTATGTTGGAGAGGTTATTTTTTGCCAAGACTAAAATTATAACCCCTATTTTCTTTTTAAAACAGGATTGAGCAATTAATAAATGAACATGAACAGGAGATGGCAGCACTAACTGCTAAAGCTAAGATAGCACGAAGCTATGCAAATAGTATCCAAAGCCAGATGTAGAAGGTTCAGTATGTTTGTTTGATTATCGTACAGATAATGTTAAGAATAACCTTAATTTGAGAGAGCTTATTCTAGAGTATACCGGCTTATGCTACTGGTATACTCTATGCCCTACTTTTTTTTTTTTTTTTTAATATCTGAAATTTAGGCAGTCCTTGCATAAATTGTAGAATGAAGAGGAAAAAAAGAAAAATGAAGAAATAGGAAATCACACTATATACAGGCAAAAAGTAATGCATTAGGCAAACTTTGAGAATTGGCACACTCAGGGACTGGTTCGGTTGCTGTGGTTCTGAAACAGCACCAGCAAAGTGGGTGGAAGTTCAAATTGTGGCTCTAGCTGTCAGCTCTGTTTTTGCCACCAGCTTTTTGAATGATGTATCTCCAGTATCAGAGTTGTGAACAGTTTTTGCAGAGTACCTGGCTACAGTTAAGAGCTGTGGTTGTGTGCAGTTTTAGGTGTCTATATTGCACCACGGGCTTTGCCTTCTGTATGATCAATGGATTCAGACACAAAATTGATTGCCAGTAACATTATCTGTTGAGTCACAGACAAGACTGAGTAAACAGTTGGGCTGTTTGCATAAAGGTACAAATAAGTAGTAATGAGGGGTAATTTTAAATGCTTTTCATTTGGGGGAAGAAACAGATATGTTGGTACTATTGACTTTGGCAATAATCGAATGAGAAGAAAATGACACTGATTCTCACCAGCTACTTGGTGACTCAGAAATCAGTGTTCAATTACCAATTAAAAATCGAGGACATGCCATGCAGTGCTGCAAACTTAAGATGAGACTTAAACATCGGTATATATATTATGACTGACCTGCATAGTTGAAAGTGAATAGCTGATAGCAAAATGCCTCTGATTCAGATTATGGAATAGTTGGGGTGCATTTGAAAGCAGACTTAGCTTTTTTACGATTTGGTTAAGGATAAAAGAGTCATCACCAGCAATAAAAATATAAGACTTGAGTCTGTATGATTTCATGTGAGAACTCTCAGACAGCAAATCTGGCCAATAAGACAGTATGTTTTAAACGTGGAATGATAATCAACCGAACGCTAATTGTACTTTAAAGCAGTAAGTTTTAGTGTTCTTACTGATTATAGCAAAACCCACAAACATTTCATGCTTTTGTGAGCATAATTTCTCCTTTTAAAATATTTCTTAGAGAACAAACAAGAAAGTAAAACACGGTGCACATGCATCAAGTCAGTCACCTGGGATCTGTAGTTTCTCAGCTGCGTTCTGAATTACAAGAATCTAGGAGGTTGTATGAAGACAAGGTGTGTATAGATTCGTGTGTTACAAGTAGTACTGGGTAAACTGGATATTTTGATGTGTAAAGTTTCCGGACAGATTGGTAAAATCTTTTGGTAAGGGTTTGCTTCAGAAGAACTGAGTTGACAAGATAAATTATATTACCTCGAGCATAATTTGTATTATTTTTAGGAACAAGTTATATTTCTCTAACAAAAACAGTTCTGCAGAATGCATTGAGAACATACCAAAAATGATGCCTTCTGGAAATAAGTGAAGTAATTTTGTCCTACAGTCATCACTTATATGTGCAGTACAAGAACATTCTTCTACTGTACCACTAGAAAATATACCAATAAGGAATAAAGTGGGCGGTAAAAGTAGTTACTTATTTGAGTTGTACTACCCAGAAAAGTTCTGACGATTTTTTTTTTCCTTGGGAAGTGCAAGAACAAGAGTGCATAGGGATTAGGGCAGCTCTTGAGAAGCATTCAGCTGTCCAGAAGTGTCCCAGTTAGGAATCATAAAATTCATTGCAATGCTTCATATCAATAGAACATAACGCAGGTAAAAAAAGACAGCTAGCCAGTCCCTGTGTATTCAAGCCAAATTTTAAATACCATTATACAACAATTTTGATAAGTTACTTGCATCCACAAAGACGTGCAATTAAACCAATTTTTTCCAGATAGTTACACAGAATTGCTACATACTGATGGAGAGAACTTCATACAGTCCTGACACAGAATCTCTGCCATTTCACAAACCATAAAAACAGGCCCCAGCTCTGGACTTTCTTACACCCAGTGATGACAGATGGAGAACACCCAGAATATCCCAGTCATGCCTGAGGCAGCAACATGCAAATGGATCTTTCCCTCCATACTGAGCCGGTGGGAGCAGGACTGCTGGCCAACAGCAAATTGGAAGGATCGCTGCAGTTAAGACAGGAGAGAAACCTGCCCTACATGATCTGAACAAGCCCCTCTGCCCAAGAAGTGTCATGCCTAACAAATGTGCAGAGCAAGTGGAAGAACAGGCGAAAGCACCAGCAGTCCCCATGCAGCGAGGAGCTACCAAGATCCACAAGATGAAGGTTTGGCAAGCTGCCCACATCCAACAAGCTGTTAGGGTGTTCATCCTCTTCCTTGTGTTCCCTGTGCATTTACACAGGTGCATGGACCACACAACAAATGGGGACTGAGGTCTGAGCCTGACATGGCCTCCGGACATCCCCAAGGTCCTGCTTTTCTTCAGTGGGGCCTTTTAACAGAAGCAAAGAGGCAGAGGCTCAGCTCAACTCCTCTCACAGTTAGTTACCATATTCTTCTAAGCACGTGAAGCAGCAGATTCATCTGAGCAACAGCAAAACAGCAATGTTAGCTCAAAGCCAGCTGAAAGAGAAGGGAAGAATCCAAACCTCAGTCCTATACTGTCAACATGTTTCCTAGCAAATCTGATAGTAAGAACTCCATTCCAAATCTCCAGGCTTGTCCTCTGTGTACCCCGTTCTGATCAAAGCATACATAGTGGGTTCACCTCCTTCACTGCAGTTTGCCACAAAACTACCTCAGCGTATTGGGGTTCATATTCAGCATAAGAGATTCGTAGCTTCGAGCTTCATGATCTCTCCTCTCGATGAAGGGGACCAGATCTGGGGACCAGAAATTACCCATTTTATGTGCCCTTTCCAGATCATGTCCATTGCTTCACTCACTTACTTTGATGCTTTGGATTCTAGTTTTATAAACCACCAGAATATCTTTAAATTCTTAATTATTTTTGGTACAAGTTAGTTAATGTTTTCTATAGAAAATGATCGGAATGCTCTCCATTTCTTTAAAAATTAATAGAGCTGACCCATGTAGAAATGCTTGCTGGATCCAAATCCAGTTTAGATTACAAGTCATGAAGATTTAGGCATCCTTCTCCTACATGCTGCTGGAAAGGGAAAGTACAAGTCACAGGAGTGCTATGAGATTTGGCACAGTTGATATTCTCTGATCCAAAAACAGTCTGAGGATGGAATGACAGGGATGTGTCAGGTCAAGCCTGTGGAGCCATGACAGATGTGCAGAGCAGGAATGACATTGTGTTTTATCATTTCTGTAGGTTTTCACTGTTACCAGTTCTGTTTGATTCACACGCATCGAAACTCACACCAGGCAATTCTGAAAGTGACTTTTTACAGTATCACAAGTGAACTATGGTGAACTGTATTTAGCCTCTGTTACAATCTTTCATGCTCAAGGAAGAGTACAATTTAGAGTGTGCTTTTCAGGTAGGTCTGTGTACCTACATTTTGTTTGTTGTATTTTTGTTTTGTTTTGTTTTTACCTAAATCATGCAGTACACATTATAAGATCATATCCAGTAAAAAACTATAACTGTAGTGTGTATTCCTTAAAATATATTCTCTTTCAGAATATCTATCTTATATATAACATGTAAAATTGGAAACACTGCATCAATTTCAGACTATTCTTTGCAGTCTACTAGATGGCATAAAATGTTGATTTCATTTTCCTATAAAACAATAGACTACTGGTCCCTGAATAAAAACCACTTTTCAATAGGAAGTGCAACATTATTAAGTGTTATTAGGTAGGCTTCAGTGAAAGACCAGTTGATCATTTGATCTCAGGCTGTTATGTGGAGTTATGTTCAGGAAGGAGTGGGGCAGAATCTAAATAAAGCTTTTACAACTGTCTATCTGATTTAGAACAAGCATTTCTCCACAGCTTCTCTCATAGGAAAACTCCTTCACAAAGTTTTCGATGTAGTAGGTGTAAGCCAGTGTATGTTGTTGATATCAGATACTTTTCAGCAGTCAAGAAATTTGGTGGTTAGGTTTGAGATATAAATGTAAATATGTAAGTGTTCTGTTAGGATAAGCCTATGTTAATACCTTTTCCTTTATTAAAAAAGGGCTGTAGGCTGGCCTGCCATCTCATACATTGCCAAAAGTTGCATCCTTCCACAGGAACTGTGTGACTATTGGTTGGAACAATACATGTTTGCCTGTAGATTTCTTGATGTATTTGTAGTGAGGGAATTACGCCTCACTGTCTTAGTTGCATAAAACCTGCCCTTGGGCATAGGCACTTCTGAAAAACTTTGCTGTATCTTTAAACGCAAGGTGAACACATCTGGATAGTCTTGGAACCAAATTCTTCCTTAATTAGGAGGGCCCTGTCCAAGGAGAACTTTTTCTGTCACTGCCTGTGGGAGCCCTCTTGCCCCATATGCAGTCCTTGAGCTCTGTAGAGGACATGCTTCAGGCTTAGGTTTTCTGTGGAAACACAAAGTAGTTGTGTAGGGAGGGTTCAAGGGAGAAACACCTAGGGCTTACTGTAATTTCTCCTCCTGATGGAGGATTCCAGAGGATCAGAAAATCCCTTTTCTCAAAAAGGATTTCAGGCAAGTAGGGGAAGAAAAGGCCCTGGTGCTCTCTGTAGCTGCTTAGAATTTGTAGCTCCAGGAAGTTGAAGATTACTCATTTTACAAGTAAGGAATTTTTGGAGAGTTGCAGATCAGGGTGGAATCCAATTAATTCTCAGGAACCTGAGCTAACTCTACAAGGTAATTGAGCTTAGTTATTAGGGGAAAAAAAAATGCTATTGTGAATATACCTAGGGAAAAACTCTGTTCCATCAAAAGATGACATTTAGACTTGCTTAGAGCAGAAGCTAGAAGAAAACTAAAAGAAAGCCAGTATGCTTCTTAAAGTAGAATATATTAAGATAATTCTTCGTGAATTTGCTTTTCATTTAGGTGGAGGATCTTAAGAAGCAGTTGCACCTAGCTCATTCTGAGGTAGCAAAAGTTCAGAATGAACGGGATTGATACAAACAAGAATGTGGAAATCTGAATGACCGGATTCATCAATTGTTGGTGTGAGCAGTGATAGTGTTGGAAAAAAAAAGACAACAAACACCTTGCTTTCTAAAAGTGTTGCCTTACTGCAGGTTTTTTCATTTGCACATTGTTTGTTTCCAAAGTGTGACAGCCCCCTTATATATATAGTTAATTTTGAAGATTATTTTTGATTAGAAATTTGGATCGACTGTTACGACTATTTCCCAAAGGCCTTTGACATTCAGAATTAAGGTTAACATTGTCATAATTTCAAAATCTTTGAAAGTGCGGAACCTCACAGTTTGGATCCCTGTGTCAAGGAACTTTAGTCCCTTTAACACATATTTTGTAAGACATGCCCAGGATTTTTGTAACAGCGCTGAAAGTTCCTTTTTGGTCTATTGAGAACATTCACAAAATGAAATGCAGTTAAAAAATTTGCCACAAAGATTTGGTTTCATAAAAACTGGCTTCATGCTCTGTAATTATCCTTTTTTTTTAAATATAAGATTACTCTTTAACAACTGAATTTTGGGAGATGAGTTTACATGGTTTCATTAGTTTTGTTTGCCTAATTGGTGTTAGAGTCCTTCTGAAGGAGATGTTGAAATTACTTCATTCAGTATGGTGTTCTCCTATTCAAGAATATGTTAAGTAAATCTTTTCCTGCAGTTTGCTGAAAGAGAAGACTGGAGCCAGCATAATGATTGCATAGTTGAATGTTAAGATACTTTTCTAATCCTTTTTTTTCCCCTTTGTTTGTAGTTTGTATTTCCATTCTGCCATTCTCTGACCTTGCAGCTTTGTTCTCTACTTCAGCTTTAACGATATACACATAGTCCTAGCTTCCAAAATAATAACAAAAGTTCTTATTGATAGAAATGTATATTGGTAATTCAGTTTGGCTACATTTTTAATTCATATTTTTGACATTTGTAGCTAAGAAATGTGTATATTAGTATTTTTAATATTATTTACATTCTACATTTATAATTTAAGTTATGTACTATTAGTATTATGTTTGAGGGAGAAAAGAGTTAAGCTCTGGTGAATAAGTAATAAATTACTGCAGGAAATGAAACAAGCAGTGAACATTTCTCATTAGTGGTAAGGATGGATATTTATCACAGAAGCCTTCCTTGGTAATGCTTTATTGTTTTTCATTTGAAGTTGGCACAATATAATCTCTTTTCATTTTGCTGCTTATATAGATTTTAGGATAGACAGAAATGGTATCAAAGACTTCAGTGTTGAGATTGTAGTTAATTGAAAATAATTACAGAAGCAGTATGTAAAGTTGAAAGTTACTGCTTTGTTGGGAGAAAACATGTAGGAGGTGCCAGACTAGTTTAGCCAATATTCCTGTCCTCTGTTAGGTGTAAATCCATGTCATAGTCGCTATTCAGGTATGTAACCATGTAATTGAAAGTTGCTAATGGTAAGAAAATAACAAAAAATCCAAAACGTGATTCAAGATGGGAAATTAATAATTTCTTGTAGACTGAACTTCATGGAAAAGAGGTAGAACTAAGTCTAGAAAAGGAGCAGAACAAGAGATTTTGTGATCGGAACACTGACAACAGCATGACCACTGATAATCTAAGGACAGAACTAGACAAGAAGAACATGGAGTCACAGCTCATGAAAAACATGGTGAAGGAAATGAGGATTGAACATCAGGGACAAATGGAGCGACAGGTGGGTGAGCCACTGCACCGCGATAGCATTCGGGATGGAAAGTGCACTGACTGGGGACTGCACCAAAATTTTGCCTCTAAAGTTGCAGATACAACATAGTCAGAACTTGCAACTTTCTCTGTTACTCTGTCCAGCCCAGCCTTCATTTCTCTTTCTTAATGGGGTACTGGAAGCATTAATTTTACATTTGATTTTTAGCAGTGACATAAGCCTTAGGAAAAATGAATGTTCTGTCGATAGTGTGGTTTTAACTGTAAACTTCCAATGTAACATTTTGTAAATGTTCGAAAATATGGTGCTGGAAGAAGAAACAAACAAACTGTTGAAGGCTGTATTTTTGGTAGTAAGCTCTGCTGTAAGAATAATTAGTAAATTAAAGGCCTTCAGTAATGCCTTACTTTGTATAATGCTAATGAAAGCGTAATGACATTCTGTGCTCTTGACTCAAAATCTAAGCTGAATGCATTGCAGTTTTAGGCAGAACTACTACTGATAAAGTAGAGTCTTAGACATTGAGCTAAGACTCAACACACTGAGCTTCAAGACATCAGCCTGTCAAAAATGAGCTGTAATTACTTAACCCACTGCCCACTGGCAGCTCCACTGGTTATTTTACATCATGAGTAAAGATGAAGTTGAGTTGGTTCCCTTATGTGTTTTTTTTTGTTTGTTTGTTTTTTAACCAAACCATGGGCTTGTGCTACCTCACGTATCTTTCTACATTTTCCCAGTCCATTTCTTCTCCTTAAAATTGTCCTACCAGGATGTTCATTCTTTCCTTCTGTTTCTACTCTGTACTGCTGGCAATTCTTGAGTCACAGTACTTAACGTTATATTTGATGATAGTCTTGTGAACATCGCTTCCTGCATGAATAAAATCAGCAATAATTTTTTCATGTATATATTTTTTTTCAATTTATAGTGCAATTGATCAATTTTTAACACTTAAGGTTTTTTTAGCCCCAGCTGCTCTAAATTTTAAAGTAACTTTTTTTTTTTTTTATCACAGAAAATTAAACATACCAGACCAAAATAAAAATAAAAATAAAACCAGTATTCCGATTAGTACTTTATCAAATGGAGAATGAGTAGTGAAAACCAAAACTCATATAGTCAGTGTAGATCTGACCACACTGATGTAATTTTCCTCTGAAACTCACAGATGTTTAAGACGTACTGTAGAAAACTAGAAAGTGACATGAAGTTGTGAAGGCAGAAATAAACATTTCTCTTGGTCACTCCTTTTATTGCTATTATTCAGAGGGCTGCAGTTAAGGAAAAATTTGAAACCATTGTAAGAATCTCCTCCTTGACTTTCCAACTAGAGTCAACCAAGGAAAGACTTGGTAAAGTTCAAGAAGATCTTAGAGCCAAACAGATAGATTTGGAGACTGCTGAGAGAACAGTGTCAAATCTTATGGCATGTCTGAAGGAGAAAGAAACATCTCTTGAGGATACCAATAAGGAAATCAAGAAGCTGCATTCACATGTTGGCAGTAATATGCAGGAGCTTGAGCATCTAAAGAACAAAGAGGTCCATTTACATGATGTGCAGTCAGAGTGTGAAACGCTGAAGCTGCAGGTAATAGAGAAGGAAAGGATTATTGAGATCTTGCAAAAGCAAATTGTTATCATGATCCAAGTTGTAGACCAGCAGTATCAAACTGCTGGAGTGATGGAAGTTGAGAAGTTGCAGCTTTTAAAAGAAACGGGAAAGGAACCGGAAACTTCAAGTGCAAGAACATAAGGTCTGTAAATGATGGTGTATTTATGTCTGTAATACAGTTAATATTTTCTTGTTGTAAATCTGCACCTTAATATTCCAACACTGTCTGGTTTTAAAGTCAATATGAGACCGTCCTTGGAATCCTAACAACACTGGAAGAGTTGGTGAAGATTAATATGAGCACATTCCCACCAAAAATGAGTATTTCATTGGTGCAAAAGCAGTCTTCAAAAGGCTTGCCACAGCTGGAATGTAACATGCTGTTCTGAGGGATACAATGGTCCACATGAGTAGCAGAACAAGAAATACAGTGTTACTGAGAAATAACAGACAGTGAGCACTCCAAGCTGAGAACACTGTGTATAACTGGCAAATTCTCAGACAAAAATCATGTGATATGGTAGTCTTACTCAGGTTGGCAGCTTCTGAAAAAAATTGCTGCAGATAGGGAATTTCATGCACTTCTGTCAGAGGACAGTTGAGTATTAAAGAACATGGAGGTAATGGTGCAAAAGGATGGAAATAATTTTGATATCGTACACCTAGTAAGGTTAAACATGCTGGAAAGCCATCAGATCAGACTCTGGAGTACCCTTTTTGCGTGGATTACTCATTTTCACAGAATTGCTTTTCTACTCCATTTTTCTTTCATGCTCCAGATTGTTATCTGACAAATGAGAATTAAAGTAATGATGATGTTTTCTTTTTTTTTGTGTTTAATTTATATATACATCTATATATTACACAATTATTATTTTTGTATGAGTAGATTGCAAAGGAGGAGGAAGAAGTTAGAATACACAAGTCAGAGGCCGCGCTGAGCCAGCTGGAATTGGAAAAGGTTAAGCTGGTAAACACGTGCACTGAGAGACTCCATGCAATTAATGATATGAAACTGGAAAAAGACCAACTAATGAGCAAACTGATGAGCATTCGGATTGAGCTAGCTGGCCTTGCAGGTAGGGAGCTTCAGATTAGCTCAGCTCAGATAGCTGCTAAATTGGGCTAATGTTAAAAATAGAAGGGCAGCTTGCTTGATGGATCCAAATACGGCCACTGGTACAGCTAAAGGTTCCCTGCCAGCATGGGATGGTCACGTTGCTCAGGGAGTAATGGTTTGGGTTTCTGGTGCAGAATGATGGACGTACAATCTTTATGGCAGTCTCTCACTACCCTGAGCAAAAAAATTCCCTGACTCTAGAGACCAAAGAAGCAGATCTAGTTAAACATAGTGCAGGAATGTGACCGCTTTTCCCCGTGTGTTATTTAAGGGGTCTAATGGACCCTAGCAGCCATCTATGGTCAAGTTACAGTAGAACTTATTTCTGTTTTGTTTTGGATGCAATGTTATTTAAAAGCTTATGTCCTGACTCTGAGCACTGTCTCCACAGCAAAAGTATGGGGAAGCAGATCAAGATGATAAAAATTGGAAAACTTAAAAAAAATGTGGTGCTGGACCGAATCAAGCCACTAAAACTGAGGGAGCTTCTCTGTTAAATCTGCATTGCAGCCTGGCAGGTGTTCACACGCTTTGCTCTCTGCACAACCCTGTATTCTCATAGGCTATGTTCTACATTTTGGTCTGGCTAACGTGTAAGTCCAAGGTGTCTTACAGGTGAGCTGCTGCTGCTCCAGAAGGAAGAGTTATTTTCAGCTGCTCAGAGTTCTGGCTCTTTAGGATGCAAATTTCCATGTAAGGTGTTTTTGTTTGGTTGGTTTTGTTTTGGTTTGGTTTGGGTTTTTTTGTTTGTTTGTTTGTTTTTTTCAAACAGGGGAGAAAGAAAGCATACAAGGAATGTGGGATAGTTTAGTATTGTGGTAGCCCTGAAATGTCCTCCACTTGAGAGAATCCTGAGCATCTGTTAAAAATTCTGAAAACAATGAAATGATCACTGGTGTATCCAGTTACAATAAAAACTAGAAAGTGTTTTGAGAATTGAGTGCTGCATATTGTGAAAGCTGTGACTAAAAGTGATCTGCTGTTGCTTAGGGCTTGCTGTCTGGTACCTGCTTCTTGTGCTTGGCACATGATTAGTGTTCTTCTACAGGAGCTGCAGGGCCCAGGGTACTCATCAGCTTCTGCTTCAGGCAAGCCACGGCACGTGGTGCCTCTTCCCTGCCTGTACTCCGCTGCTATGCCACTTCCCCTAAACTTGGCCAGCTGTGCCCCTCACATGAGTACCCGATTCATAGAGCGAAAGTGTACTGACACAGGGATGTTCCAAAGATTAAAAATAACGTGGAGATTCTGAACGGGAAAGCACCCGCTAGAAACATCCAAGAGCAGTTTCTTAGCACCGAAGACAAAATCATTGTCTATAGCTTCTCATTCATTGTGGAGTCTCAGATTCTGTTTCTTTCTGCTTGTGAAATACATGAAAAAAACAACCAGACAATAAAAAATAACCACACTATAGATTGTAATAGCAATTCATCTTACTTGCATCACCAATAACTTCATTTTTTACTTTTTTTGTTTTATGGTATTTGTTGTCAACCACGTATATTTGGTAGTGAAAATAGACTTGTCCATAGTTCCTGATACATTTTACCATCTGATTGACCTTCTAAAAGTTACTGCTTGTTATACTTAAATCTTTCTCCAAGCTGGCTTTCACTGACTTTTGACCAAATTTATCCTAGAAGATAAAACACTGCCCTTATTTTCTTTTGTGTTTGTACATTTACATTAGATTTAAATTGGATTATAGTGCTATGTTGATTTTCCATTATAGAAAACATCAAGTCAAATCGATTTTGAGGAAAAAAAATCTTTTGCTGTTTTTTTTTTTGTATAGATTTTGTATAATCGTCCAAAACAGACCTGATGTTTTTCAATAAAAATGCATCAGCAAAAAGTGCCAGTTCTGTGCACAGATGAAGGTTAAGTTGGTGGGAGCAATGCTTTGAGTATGCAATGTGTTGAGTACTCTGGAAAAACCAGTTCTTCATAGGAAGGAATGGTTTCATTTGAATGATGTTGCACTTCATCTCAGAGCAGGGCTGTGACAATCAAGTAGTTCATAATTGCAGACAACTCAGCTGTTAGAGAAACAAGTGCCTAGAAAGCACCCTGAGATACTAATATTACTACCTTCCAAGCTGGTTGTTCTCTGTACAGTAAGACCTGGAATCACAGGTTAAAAAGGTAACAGGGTTGTTGTGAAAAAGCTTGTGGTTGCATGAGAAAAAATACTCTTATAATTAAATGCTTATTTTTTGTTTTTGACCTTGGGACAATAGTAGTAACCTTTTTACAATGTTTACTTAAAACACAGTTATGTCAGCTATGTTCTCCTTTAATTGTATTTAGTTTCTTTACATATTTTGGTCAGATAACTTTCCAGATAAGAGTGTGGTCACATTTAGTATTTTGACAGTTTTCAAGTTATCATGACCTATCCTCTACCACTTTTTAATTAGAACGACCAAAACCCACTTTTTTCTAACTGGTAAGACAAGAAAAGAGGTGGAAAAACATGTGACTTTGGATGTGTTTTGAAAAGCTGTGTCTTTATTAAAATGCATTGTAACAGAATGATTTTATTTCAGATGCTTTCCAAGCTAAGCGTTTTGAAGGAGGAACCACTGCAGGACTTAAAGAGGACTCCTCAAGAATTAACAAGCTCAGATGATAACATCTCCTCTGTAGATCTTGGCAAGAATGACAGCGATGGTGGGAAAACATCACCTTTAGCAACCATAAGGAACACTGTGTAAGAGCAGTAAACTGTTATTTCTGTCATGTGTGGTATACCTCTGTTGTCTTCTAAAACTAGAATTTGGACATTCATGTATTTTGGGAGCAGTATAGGATATCTTTATGCAAGAAAGGTATTCTTAGGAATAAAGGTGAGATGACCAAAAGCTTCCACAGCTTCTGTGGTTTGCCTGGTTCCTCAGATACATCAGATGGCAGGGAAATAGGAAGTGACTACACCATTTACCTTTATTGCTTTCTTTTGGGCATTTATGTTTTTATTTTCACATAGAATTCCTTCTTTCTCTTCTTTCTTGGTTTTAAACAAGTGAGAATGACTGCTAAAAGGCATTCAGCACTTCAGCCTTTTTTGTAAAGAAAAAGGTGACAATATCCCCCATAGAACAAATTTCCTTTTAAATAAATACTTTGTTTATTACATAGTGGACTTCCACCAAAAGAAACACAAATGGTAAATGGAAAGCTGGAACCAGATGCCTCAAGATAGGTTTGGCAGAGGAGAGATGTTATTGATTATCTCCTATGAAAATTGAGATGAAGCTTGATTTTTGTTTTTATTTCTATTTTTACTTCCATTCTCAGTGCCTTAGTTAAGAATTGTGCTGTATCCAAAGTTACCATATCAGAACAAGATGTCAAACAGCAAGTATTTAGGGACAAGAAAAAAATTTTTTTTTGTCTGTTCACAACTTGAGGTTGTTGCAAAAAACCTGACAGGGGAAGAAGGTTTTACATGATAAGGATAGCACTTTGTATGCTTGAAGCAGGCTTAGCAGGGTGTATTTGGCAGAGATACAGGTACAACAGCAGAGCTGCTGGAGGAAAGGGAGCATTTCTACAAAAGGTCAACACTAAGTTCAGCAGGATTTTACTTCTTTGGAATACTTCTAAGTGTCTCTCAATGCCAGTACTTAAAGTCAGTCTGTCTGTTGCTTGGATATAAATCAGTGATCCGTTTCGTTCTCTCATCAAATATCGCTGTACTCTAAAAATGTACTGTGCCTGAGAAAACGCACAGGACAAAGCTGGAAATGGCATGAATATATGATGGTACTTAATTTGATGTCGTTAGGTGAAATATGGACTAGAAAGCACATTCCTAATAAGTGGAAGCTGGTTTGAAGAAGCTAGATCTAGGCTCTGTCATGTGGGTAACAAGAAAGAAGATAACAGTTTCAGTAGTTGTCAAAATTAGAAGTTCGATACATTTTTTTTCCATTTCCATGACTACGCGTTATTTGTACAAAATGTAGTCCTTTATTTCCCAAAGATAGCCCTTATTTCAGTAATCTAAATTCACTACCAGTCTAATAGACTTTCAGTGAACGTGTGTAACTATTTTACTATTGTTTTTCTTCACCTTTAGGATATAGCTGTGTGCAATTTTACTCTGCTTAAAAAAGCAGCTCATCTTCTAAAAAAGTAAAGTGTAGCAAACCTAATAGCAAGGCTTTTGCTGTGACCTTGACAGCCCTATGTCTTTTCCATGTGGGGAGGCTCCAACTAGAGACTCTGCCACTGAAAGCAGCATTAAACAGGATTCTTTTGTCCAGTGAGAAGTGATCTCACTTAGCTGAGCTACCTGCTTCTCAAAGTACTCATTCAGAATTCATTTTCTAAGGCTTTTTAAAAACTGCATTAGTTGTGAGCATGTTTTTGTTTTATTCATAATGCTAAAAACTTCCTGGGAACTACAAAACAAAGCTGGGATGTTTCTTTCATCCCTCTAAGAGCTCTGGAACTTAATTGCATTGTTTGCCTTTAATATACATGTAGAAGAGGTGGGGATTACATATGAGAGCTTTATGTTCTCACTGTAGAGGCTAGCTAGCCTTACCAAAACTTAGCAGAATATTTACAGAATATTGCAAGTTTATGCCATCTTCTTGCTTGCAGGGATCCTTTATGCTTACCAACTGCAGATCATCAATCCCAAGGCACGACCTGGCCCTTCACGTCTCCTGGTGAGTTTTTGCTGGCTGCATTTGAGGATGAGTGTTCCCCATGGATGTGGAACTGACACATTACTGAGTATTATTCAAAACAAACAAACACACAAACCTTGTTGCAAAATCCGTGGTTTGGTGCAAACAAGCTCCATGGAGGCTGATACCAGAACACTTAAAATGGGTTTCTTCTGTGACAGTTATTTGTGAATAGTAATAGCCTTGTGTAATTAGTACAGATAATACTTTCAAATTCTGGTGCCTAAGTTTAGGCCTTTAAGAGCCTGTATTCTGTATTCAAGTATCTAAATATTGATATGCTTTTGAGAGGGATCAAGTCATTGAGGATTCCCTTGATTTTATTGAAAGTGCTGCATGGTCAGTACCTTTTAAAATGCAGTGACATTAACCTAAATATGAATATTAAGGGTATGTCTTTGAGCACCGAGGTTAGAAGATAGTAGGCTTAGCCTTCTTCTCTTTTGCTGCGCAGAGATTTTACATTCTGTGAATTTTCTGTGAAAATTGCCTACAGATGCTGAAAATTTGTTGTCTCTTAGTATTTAGGTCAATTTTTTTTATTTTTTAATTTTTTTCAGAGACAGCTTAGTTCTCCTCTGTCTGTCCTGAGGAGTAACTGCTATGAATCTTCTTTTTAAACTTCTAAATAGTATAGAAAGTAGATACTGTCAGCATTCTATTAAACCATCTACGACATCCAGGGATTTCCCTAGCTTCCAAAATACCTACAGGTATCACTTTTTATACAGAAGACTCTCCAGTCTTCTGGAGAGTAGTTGAAGGGCGGGATTTTGTGAGAAAACCCCAGAATTCTTCTGAGCAGCTCCTCATTACAAGTCCAGACTTAAGAAGGTCTGTTCAGCTGAGAGGTGCAGAGAAAGGTCTCCACTACACTTGCTCCACCAGACGACCTTGCAGCTGGCCCCAGCACCTCACCAGAGCACAGACCCTCTGTGAGGAAAAGTGATTCTCCAGACATTGAATCCACAGTCCCCTGGATAAGTAAGTCCAGTCCCATTTACTGATCCAAAGATCTTGGCTGGGTCTCTTCCCAGCCAATACAGTAAGTGAGTTACAAAGAGCAGGTTAAATTCTGCTCCTGTTATTCTGTAAAAACCTGTGGAGTCCCACCATCGTTCACTGATCCAGTCTTTGGCGATTTATGAATGTGGTACCTTTACTTAATTCTGCATTTGGTTTTTTAATATATGTTTGTAATGTGTAGCTAACAGAACCCAGTCACATTGCCAAATATACACACTGGTGTTTCTGAAGTGTACAGGGCTGATACAGGGTTGATCTTGATCTGTTGTTCCAGAAAGTAGAACTACAGCTTGCAAATTTATTGAAAGATAACTTATCAGTGGTTCATTTTAAAACACAGGAGTTCTGGCCCACTTACCTGAAACTGCTCTGTTTTTGCTTGCATCAGACTGCCTTTGATACAAGGTAGAGGCTTCTATTTCGTGAAAGCTAAGCCCTGTCACAGATGTGTTGAAGTAAAGGTGTTTTTTCTGTGATGAACGAGTTGTGAGTAAAATATAGTAGCTAATCAGTGTGCTATACAAAGGGAAGAGGACATATGTGCCACATGCCACTAAATGTAAGAACCAGTGAATTTCTTTATTCGGGTAAATATGTAGCATGTAGGGTTGCTTAATATTTGCAATAAGAGGCAACAAAGTTGTCTAATATTCACATTTTTCATAGTTGATATTGTCTCTGTAACACGTCTAAAAATGTTATGGGGTTTACTGAAAATACTGATATAAGACTGTGTCTTTGTAGCCTTTAAGTGGTAGAAAAATAGGTTTTCCAGAACCACAAAATGTATGACGATGACGAGCGTTCCATTCCAGGTAGTCTATTAATTACTTACTGATGAGCCAGGCTGTCGGGTCTGCTTTATTACTTCACTTTGCAGAATGTGAGTAGGTACAAAATGTGAGTAGGTACAAAAAGAAAAGTAGGTAAGCTACTGACTTTTCACATGATACTTAATTGCCAAATAACATTTTTTGTAATTTTTCTCTTCCTCTTTCTTAAAATCTGAAAATAACCACTTCTCTTAGCAGGCAAATAAGCACTGCAAGTAGCAGTGTAATAGAAATGTAGCCCACCTAGCTCTAAGCTAGTTGTAGTACTGGCAGAAATCTAATCAAAAGAGACTAATTTGTCTTGCTTCTCAGCTGGAAATTGTTTTTTCTGTATTTTCAGCATAACTGTAGCATGTTTGTATTGCACTGCTATCCCATAAATGCAAGCTTCTCAGTTACTTCATTTTTCAGTACTTTAAAAACATCAGGATCCTCTCTCTGTCTGTAGAAAGGTATCTAAAAGAGCTGGGCTGTGCAATCAGCCTGACTGGAACGTGAACAGTATTGCTAATTGACCTTTGCTTTCTGGCTGGCTGTGCAAAGACGAAGTGTGTATTTGTTAGCTCACCTGTATTTTCAGTGCACATCCAGCAACTCAGAAATACCTGTTCATAAGGAGAGTGCAAGGTGTGTAGCATTTCCCAGTCTACGTGCTGAACTGGCCAAATGGGTACCTGCAAATTTCTGTGCCTGTAGAGCAGCACAACCTTCCTCTCTAGTGTGTCTCATCTCTGGATTTCACTTGTTTTAGGGAATGTAAACATAATGCCAGGCTTTGTGGTATGGTTACCTCCACAGCTATAATTGGAATTAAACTCCAGATTGTTCCTATGTAGACCATGGGAGATCTAGCAAGTCAAAGTCACAGCCATGACTTTCAGTCAGTTGCCTAGCAATGCTCAGGTTATTCCTTGTTTCAATAAGTTGCATCTTTCTTTACCTTAGTTTTCCCATTGGTAAAATGAAAGTGACACTACTACTTTCCTTTGTGAAATCACTGCAAATTTACTGGCAGAGTTTTATTTATAAGTTGTGGGTATAAATATTACTTAATTAACATAAAACACTTTTTTCCCATTCCCAAGCACATTTATAGGCAATCTAGAAATTCAGTTGCATTCTCCCATGAACAGAAATGCAATAAAATATAAAATTCTTTTAATAACCTTGCCTTCTCACTCATTTTCTTTGCTATTGGAAATTTTGATTGACGTTTTCTAGGAACTTTACTTTAGATGGAATGATTAAATAATTTATCTTACAATGACTCTTTTATTTTGTCATAACATGCTGACAAGTAATTTTTTCAATAGCTTCTCAGTCTGTGGAAACTAGTGAGGACACATCTAAGAAGCTACAGAACAAGATGGAAAGCCTGCAAAACCAGGTGGAAACGTTACAGAGAAAAAGCCAAGGTGCCAGTATTTACCAAATACATTCCTATTTTATTTAAAATACAGTCCCCAGAAACTGTGTTACCTGCCAAAGCACTACTTGTGTTTCTGTGTTTTATATGATGTCAGTTTATTTGTTCCTGTTTTACCAGTACCCGCTTCTACTTTATCCTGCTCCTCAGAGAGTAATTAGATTAACTACATGATGCGTTGTTTCTCAGCCCCTTAACTCTTAATAAGCTTCAAGATCCTTAACATTTCAAACATGGCAGCTGGTCAGGGCTGCCCTCATGTGCTATCATGTCAAAAGCTGATGACTCTTACAGAAACTGGATGATACTGTGACAGCAATTGATTCAAAAAAAACATAGCTTCCCAGCAGTGGCCTTACAAGCATATCCTTTCCTCCTCAACGTTTTCTTTTTTGTTTTCTTTTTTGTTTTTTTTTTTTTTTAATCTGAGATGACCACAGTCATAGACAACTTTTTTGAACTGTTCTTGCTCCCTTTGAAGTCACTGATAAGACTACCATGAGCCCTGCCTGCAATTGCAGAATGCTAGATGAGATGGAATATCTTTTCTCTGCACTTTTTCTGAATTCACATTCCAATAACTCCACCTTTTCTCTTTTAAGTCTCCTTACATGGCTATGGGAAACCAGTATTTCCCTACATCATACAGTTCATACATCAAGGACATTCAAGTGACCTGATTTGCTTAAAAAATGATCATATATGAAGTATAAGGTAATTGTTCTCATTTTTATTCTTGGCCATTGCTAACATCTTCAGGTAGTCTGTTTTCTGTATGCTACATAAAAATCTATGTACAAATCTGTAATGTGTCAACTGTAACTATATCAAAGAGATTATGTATATAAAAAAAAATATTATACGCATAATAAGTAAACTTGTTGTCATGGTCACTGGGCTGAACATTAATTCAATGTTGCCCTGTAAGAGAGATTCTAAAATCAGTAGCATTTTTCCACTACTCTACTATTTGTCACTTAGACACCAGAAAGCAGATTACATGGTGTCTATTCACAACTAGATCCATCTTTCCTGCATCTGAAGAAGTGCAAATCAAAGTTTTATTTAGAAGGGCATGATAAATGCAGAGTGTAACATGTGGGAGGATATTACAAAGCTTGAGGAGTCTGCACCTGAGGTGTCAATCATTTTAACATAAGCTGGTGTTCAGATAATCTGTTCCTTTTGCTATTTTCAGCTATGTCATCAATGATCAGAACTCAGGAAATGAAGATAGAGAAAGCAAAGGAAAAGGAGAAGTTGTCAAAATGAAGACTTATGTGCATTAATGATTATTTTCACGTATGTATGTTATGTTTAAAATAAACTGTGATAATAAGGGTTCTCATAGTTCTGCAATTCTTGCCTTGAACCAGGACATTCTTTACAGGTTTTTACTTTTAAATGAATGGGAAGTACAGAGGAGTAAATCCATCCGAGTAATATCTAAATACAGACTTTCACTGGCACATGTTGTCAGTAGCTATGTGCTGTGGGTGACGCTGGCCACAGGGCATTACTGATTGCTTCAAGTTACAGTAAGGGCTTTCTTCCATGTGTTCTGGATCTTGCACATGTTTTCAGGTCCTTTTTTTTTTTTTTTTTTTTTTTTAAGAAATTTAGTTTTGAAGTGATGTGTATTCCACAATCTAAAATAAACCCTTTTCCCCCCATGCTTCTAGTTCAGTAAGTTCCAATTCACGTGGATGTCCCAGAGCTACCGAGTATTACCAGTTCAAGCAGGAAACCTGGATGTGGCTCCTGTTAACGCTGAGATATCAAAATGTTTTGAAGCACATGCCTACAACTGCAAGACTGAACAGATTTCATCCTATACCATAATTCCTTCAAGCAAAACGGACTCATCAAATGGTATTTTTGTTGTAATTTTCATTACATGTTATCATCCTTGGTTTGTAGTACAAAATCTGCCCTGGGCTTAAGTTTGTAAGCATAGCACTCATATTTTGACTCAGAGCAGTGTATGTTCCTGGATTGTTTGGGACTTTTTATCCTTCCTCCATCCGTGTCCCTCTTATAAAAACTGAAATAGGTGAGGTTTAGGTGAGAAAAAATGCATTATGAAACTACACTGACTTTTTAATAGTCTGCTGTAACTTAGTTTGCTAGAATTTGCTAAAAGTTTGCTAAAATAGCTGGGGATATTACTTCAACTTGCTCTCTAAAATATTCTGCAGTTGAATCACCAAAACACACATCCTTCCCTTGGTATGTGTTTACAAATGGTTTTTGAAGGCTGCTCCTAGTATAAGATTTAGTAATAAACAGGAAAGGATATTTAGCACATCTGGCATATGTGAATTTATTTTAACACTTTTTATCAAGTAGCATTTAAGGACTGTGCAGCAGTGGGTAAATGACCTAATGCACTTAATTAACAGAATGGGTGACACTAAAAATAGTTTGAAGGTATTAAGATCGTTAAAATATCAGATCAATTCTTCAAAGCTTTGCTAGTATTTGACAATAACTCAGGAAACAAGATAGCTCTATAAAAGGTGAGCAAGAACTTTGTACTCATCCTAAATTGAGTACTTTTCCAGAATTTGCCTTTTTTTTTTTTTTTTTTTTGTCGGCAGACTGGTCATGAATAGCAGATTAAAAGTGCTTCCCTTTCAGAGTTGAGCAAGGCTGTCTGAGAAGTCGGTTGTGGAAGCTGCTGGCTTGTTACCAGGGGAGGTCTTGCTATGAGTGCTATAGACAAGTACTACCAAAACACACTGGCAGGATGTCCTTTGAAGCCCAAACACAGAAGGGGGGGCTGAGCAGCTGTACCTGGGTGAGCAGGAGGTGGCAGTGAGGCAGGTTCTCTAGCCTTAGCATTTTTCCTCAGCCTGCTTTTTCAGAAGTTGTAATTGCCTTAGATTTATGGCAACGTGGAATTCCGTGCTTGAATTCAAGGGGTTTACAGTAAGTACGGTAATTTTGTCCAAACCATGACTATTATCTGTGGCTCCGCGAAAGCTGTTCATTAGCACACACCCATCCAGATACAAGCTTAGTTTTGTTGGCTTTAAAGCTATGGAACTACATCCAGAGGAGATCAAACCTCTGAGTATTAGTTTGAGGCGTTATTGTGTGGGGAAAGAGATTAGTGAGTTGTTCTGAAGTTTTTTTTCAGTCACTGTCAACTGTATTTTGATTTAATTCAAGTAATTTTCTGGATTTCTCAATCACTTTTTTCCACTTATTTACTTTTTTTTTTCAACAGTGTTGCAAGCTTTAGTCAGAATGTTAATAAAGGCACCTCCCTTTTCCTGTAAATGGGTTGTATTGAAAGGATCACTTGTTTTAGATGGCTTGTGCATTACAGTTTGCCTATATTTGACAGCTCTACCACAGATTTACTAAGAAAAAGGTGAGGTGTAGAAAATGAGAGCATGTATTCACCCCGTAGTCTGGCAGCTTGTAAAAGGTCACTGAAAAACGCATTCTCAGTTGCGTTCAAGGAGCCAAGCTAAAAGGAGTTTCAAAAGATTGCAGACCTGGGAGAATGGAAGGGAGCAGGTGGAGAGGTACAAATAGCCAGAGAGAAGAGAGATCTGCCAAGCAAAAAGGCAGCTCAACATCCTCATGCTGGAATCCATCAGTTAGGAACAGGCCTGAGCTTCCAACAGAAGGGAAAGATCGTCCTGGGGGAGGTGAAGGGCTGTAGATGTGAGCCCAAGTCCAGCTATATACACCCTGGACTTTGCGGCATGAATCACACTGTGTTATTCCATGTTGTACAGGTGGATAACAGGAGGACTGTTAGGCAAATGTTGACCACAGCAGGACACCACAGACAGCAACCACCACCCTATAGATAAAACCTTACACCAGTGTAACATATTTGAATGGATCATGTGGAGAGACTCTAACAGTAAGTTTAACTCGTGACGAAAATGTGGGTCAGCTACCGTTTTTGCAAAGGCGACTGCAAAATAAATAGGAAGCAGGCAAGATGCAATGCAGGTTTCTGTATGTGACTTAAAACTAGTTCATGTCCAACAGGAGCCCAGTCCCCATTCCAAGCCTCAGGCTGTCTGCTCAGCTTATCATCCAGGCACACCAGTAGGCACCAAACTACTTCACAAATAAGACTAGATTGTATTTCACCTAAAAGTAATGAAATTGTCTAATAGTTTGTTGTGAGTCTGAGCTGGTCAGTTTAAACTGTAGGTCTTTGGCTGCACTTTCTTTGCCAAGCTGTGAGCGAGGCATTTTATTATTTGTTTTTGGAAATCCTGAGCTGTTGGCTGCTAGATCCAAGTAGAAATGTCAACAAGAACTTGTTTCTCACACGTAGGTGTGAGGATGGTCTATTAGACAGATATCTGGCCAGTCTAGCATAACCATTCTTATGTAGCAAGACAACTTTGTTCAACTCTACCATGTGGTTTAATACAGCAGACAGCTGAGCACCATACAGCCCCCAGGAAGGGGAAGAAAAGTGCAAGAAATAATGGTTTGAGATGAGGACAGTTTAATAAGAAAGAAAAGAAGGAAGGAAAAGAAAAAAAATAGCAAAAAGAGTAAACAAAGTAAGTGATGCACAATGCAATTGCTCACTACCAACTGACCAATGTCCAGACAGTCCCTGAGCAACAGCAGCTCCCCTGGATAAGCCCCAGTTTTATTTTTCAGCATGACATCCAGCAGTAATGGAATATCCCTTTGGCCAGTTTGGGTCAGCTGTCCTGGTTGTGTCCCCTCCCAACTTCCTGTGCACTGCCAGCCTCCTCAGTGGCAGGGCAGTAGGAGAAGCTGGAAGTCTTTGGCTTAGTGTAGGCACTGCTCTGCAACAACTAAAACATCAGTGTGCTATCAACATTTTTGTCCTCCTGAATCCAAAACACAGCACCGTACCAGCTACTAGGAAGAAAACAAACTGATCATTGAGCAAGATGATGAAATCATGAGGAATGCATGTGCAGTCTGTAGGATCAAAGTGCAGGGTGTTTAATCAAAAAAAAAAAAAAAGTGCCCTCAATTTGAGAGACTTCTTAGAGTTAGCCTGTTTGAAACATGTTCATTATTGCATTAGAGAATCTATTCTAGTGTGGGTTAATTGGCTTTCTAGTGAATACTTTAATCTAGTACCACAGCTAATCTTCTCAGATAAGCCTGCAATGTACGTATAAACACACTCAAATGGCAGTAGTTATTAAAAAAGTGCTTAAAGTTGACAGTATCTCACTATTTGAAGCACTGTCAGAAATGGGAAAAAGAATTTCAGACCTTTTGAAAGAACATGTTTGGCTTGGGTATCCATGATTCCTGAAGATCAGCTTCTATTTCAGCTACATACCTGTGTATATTGGGTATATTGTACTCTTTAATTTATCAGGGAAGTGCGAAAAATGCAGAGCTTCCCAGCTTTCTGTTGACACACAGAAAGCAGTCATAATTAAATAGGAGAAGCATTTATTACAGCGAAGCAGTAGCTCCTTAGATGAAAGAAGCCTGATGTTAGTATTAATTTGTCAGCCCAAGTAAGTCCTAATCCCTTTGAACTTGTGCAGTAAATAATTAAGTCCCACATTAGTTGTCTGTTGAGAGAGGTCAGGACTAGCATGTGCACATGCACACTCCTAAAAGACCACTGAAATAGCAGCAATCACCTACTGAATTGTCAGCTCCTTCGTCTCCCTTTTGCATCCAGTTGCCCACAGTGATCCCACATACCTTCCAGACCTGCAGCACTTCCACACAGAAATAAAGGTGCTTTTCATCCTAGAGAAGCAGTAAACAGGAAGCTTGACCAGTCAGTCTTGAATTTTAACTCCCATTTCCTACCTTGCTCTTTCTAATGTATGAAAGCTCCCTTGAGTAAGGAAATCAAGCTTTCTCACATGAATCTTTAAGTTCCTTGAGACAAGCAGCAAGTAAAGTTAACATTATCTGCAGAAGTAACTGTCCCACAGAGCAAGTTGTGCTGTCACGTGACAATTGGGAGGGGTTGTTTTTACTGAGAACACAAACTAGCACTCAGAACTCGTCTAGTTCATGTGCTGAGACTGCTCCACCATGTGAAGCAGAAAAAATAAGCAGAGAAAATTAGCTTTGCAACGTGCTTGTGTCCCAAACTGAAATGCTGATGTCTACACTTCCAGACCTCACACAAAACTACGCTCTGCAGAGCAAGTTTGTTCTAGTGACATGGTAGTTCGCAAATAGGTTCCTTGCTATAGGAAGAAGAGCTTGCTGGAAGTGGCATATCGTGCATTTGGAACCAAAAATAGGAAAGGCAGGCCAATAGAGCAGCCTCTCTGCTGCTGTTTTATAAAAATAACAACTGGTTGATGCTGGAAGCATTGTGTGTGATCCAGCTTACTTGGAAGGCTTCAAATTAGCAAGAACAAATTCACATGGAAGAGACTGGTCTTGAAACAAGCTCAAGATAAGTACTTTGTAACAGTACTGTAGTGTTTTCACAGGCAGAATATGCCACATACTTCAGGGAGAATCCTGTCCTCTGATTATCACAGCAGCCTAGTTTAGGTGGTTGTGTTTTTGTTTGTTTTAAATAACATAAAAAAAAGCCTGCTCCCTCCCTGACAAAGTAATTTATTAAGCCCAGACAGTTGTTTCTGACCTTTGCTCTCCTCTCAGGGTGATGATTTGACTAAAAAAGGATGCATCTGCCAAGCCTTTGCTTGAGCTGAGGTCCTTCCTAGATTGCAGTGAGCAGAAAAGTGAAGTACTTAGCAGTTAGACCTTTGTTATTCCAAAGGGTGCCTGTTACTTTTCAGGAACCCTTTAGCACTAAGATTTCTGGTCAAGAAACCCAACTCTATCCAAGTTAATTAAGAGTCAGTTCACAGATTATGTTATAAAGGACTGTCAGTCTGAAAGTGTTTATTGCTTACTTAATACATTACATAAGTTAAAACACTTAAGTTCCTATTGCAGTGCAGGTAACCACACTTCCTAGAATGCTTTTAAAGCCCTAAGCTGTCAGCACAAAGATACATCCCACAGCCCCACTCAGAGCAGCACAAACTCAAGTCCAGGGTCCAGATTTATCCGGACAGGCAGCTGCTTGGAATGCTGCTCATGCCTTCAGCTCCTACCTTGCAAATCTTCAGACCATGAGGTTTATTTTTCAGGATGCCAGATGATCTCCTAAAGGGAGTGACTGAGATCTGCTGCTCACGCAGTTTAACCAGGTTTGATATGGGACTTACAGAGCTGTGCAGCCGAGAAGGTCTCCTACTGAAGAGAAAGAACTTACAGGGGCTCTGTGCTTAACCTAAGCAGGTTTGCCATTAGATAAGCAGCTTCCAAAATCCAGTCAGTGGTGTCCCCACCACTGGTGAGCGATTCGATCTTCGTGTTCGGTCACTAGGGTCCTGTTACTGCATTCTTCCCAACGTGTGACCTTCCCATTCTCAACCAAGATAAATTTCCACTCTACTTTGGTGTCTACTGGCAAGCTAACAGATTCAGACCAGAAGCCATCCTTGTCGTACTTGAGGGGAACGTAGCTGTGCCACTGGCCAAGACACTCATGGTCACCGGTAACGCCGATCAGCTGAGCGTCAGAGTGCGTGATGTAGTGCACGCGGAAAGTCACGTGGATATTCTGAAACATCGGGGGCACCGCTGCAACTCGCTTTGCTTTCAGGTCCCCATCGGGGCAGTCGCCTTGTTCCCATTCCTTGCTGTCCGAGTCTTCCACGCTGCCATTCCTGCCGGCCTCCCCCCAGTCCAGGTGCTCAGACACCACTTCCCACTCTTCCTGGTCCAGGTCCCGAACCTGGGCTGGCTGTCCCAGCTGCTCCTCGCTTCCATCCTTACAAACACCGCCAGAGCTCATCACGCACCATCCATCGCTCGCCTGTCCCACAGGGGGTCTCGGTTGCCCAGCCTGGCCACCACGCACATCAACTGGATGCTCCCCGGCGTCAGGCTCCGAGGCAGCAGCACATGGCTTTGCCAGCTCCTTCTCCGGAGCTCTGCTGGCCGCCCTGCTGCTCTCAGCGTGGTTATGCTGCGGTGCATCCTCCCCTGCTTCCCGAGGGCTCGACAGCACAGCAGCAGCCTTGGTTTGCTGCAGCACTTGCTCACCGCTCCCCAGAAGATCCTCTAAGCACAACAATTAAAAAGAAAAAAGAAAAAAGAATGGGTAAGGTCAGCAGCAAGCCCAAAGCCCTACAGATGCAGGGCAAGTCCCCCCCCGCAGCAGCAGCAGCAGCCCCCTGCTCGCTACCTGTGCCCTCCGCTTCGCCCCTCGCCCTCGGGGCCTCCCCGGCCG